TTACATAAAAGACACTTGAAGTCAGCCAAAATAAAAACCGTAAAAAATGCTATTGTGAGGTTTATTTTGACATTAATCATCAAGGTTATTGTTGTGTTTTTAATATATATAAAACATATTTCCAAGGCTGAAATAAAAGCACAGGAGGCTGTCACCTTTCTGGAATACCCCCCTTAATGGCTGATTCTAAGAGCCCTTCAGAGATCAGCAGCTGGTGACCTTTCACCTTCTCGCTGCATGGACGGAGTAACACTACAAAGCACTACGTGTCCCGTCGTCCCCTCTCGGAGACAAAATTGACCCCCGGAGACTCAGCGGTAACCTGAAGCAATCATGTTGTCTGTGATTTCCAGCTGCTCAGAGATATTGTTTCCTTTTGATTTGTTTTAAAACCATAAACAAATGATCAAATAATAAAAATGAAACAAATACATTTAATCACCCCAACATCCTCATTTCTTATGGAAGCCACGAGAAGACAGAGCAGCTAATAATTCCTACCCTGAATCCACTTTTCCAAATTGCACAATTTCCTACCACAGCCCTCCAGACACCCCCGCCTTCTACTCCACCACCACCCAGCCTCCTCCCTCCATTATCTAAACACAATATAGATGAAATAGTACCTAGATTAATTGCCCTTCAGCTCCGTCTCCTATCTCCGTCTACCATCTCACACATTTTATAATGAAAATGAGCCTCATCTTCATTTAACGGCCTTAAAACTGAAGTAGTTGCTTTGATGTGTCAAAAGAAATAGGTAAGCCATTGATCCAAAGGTGCCTGGTGCTTTTTCAATCTATTTCATATTATTGCTGCTCTGCATTGCAGTGGCTTCTCGGGAGGTTGCGCCAGAGAAGCCCGTTGGTCAAATTTTGGGGTTTATCAAAGGATGAAGGACACCGTTGGTATATTAGAAATGGTTTTCTGGTGTGAGTTGAAAAAAAACTCTGTTTTTGAGTGAGAGAACCAATCCTGAACGTCTATTTCTGAGTTTCTCATTTGTCACATCCATTGGCCAGAATTTGCAGGAGAAATCCAAGCACTTAGGGATTTTCATGGACTACTTCTCTCCCTGATTTTAGTGCTCTGTATTAATTTTTGATGATGAATTACTTGCAGTTTAGAAGCACACTTAGATTTAAAGCACACAAATGTAGCTCAACACGTGTAACAGTTCTCCCAAATTACACAGCAGGAGACATTAGGAAGAGCTGATTTTCAGTGGAGAGGAAGAGCTGGGCTTCGTCTTTGTGCCGTGGCAAAGTGGAGCAGTCTGTTCCACGCCTGACACCTGAACTGAAGACTACAAAGCAAAAGGGGGGTCTCCTAAAATCTCCCACCTTCAGGGCCTTTTAAATGAGTTCCTGTGCGGCGTATATAGCTTAAAGTGAGACTTAATTCCACTGAGTCCAGATTTACATAAATAGAATCTGAAAAAGACACAAGATACCAGAGTGTCGTGCTAAAGTAATTGGTGAAGCATTGAACCTCTGTCCTAGAAAGGCCTGCACAGCAACTGTTCCCAACTTCTGACTTTAATCTACTTTAAGACGACGCGGGCGGTGGTCCCGAGGGTGGCAGGTGGTTTGAGGAGCGCAGGATGCAGAATGGCTTCCAGCTCATAAGATTAAGACTGTAATTAATTGACAGTTTGCTAAACACCTTCCTCAAGCAGCAGTCACCCTGTAGTTGGTGCACAACTGTTGCTAGGGCTACCAGGCGTGAAACAGCGCTACTGTAACTGGAATGCCCCGTGTCTCAAACATCTAGAGGATGCTGCCAACACAAATCGGAAATAATAGCAGAAGACATGTTTTTAAGCGCGGGCATCCGTTTGCTGCTTGTCCAAATTAGTGGTATGTTTCCTGTGGCTAGCATACGACTCACTCTTTATCCCAAAAGCTTTTCATTACAGTAGCAGGGAAACTAGTTCCTCCAAGTTCAGCACTGGTATTTAAAGTTATCCAGATGTGCACCAGAACTAGCACTTTGATAGGACAAGTGCTTTAGAAGAGTCTTGCTGCTAGAAAAACAAGGTCTTGTTCACAAATCAGGACCCAGGTTTACCAGAAGAAACCACTACACCTGTTTTTGCACATTCTTCTCACCCATTCTTCCCTTTCTAAGCATTAAATGTTTAATGTGCTACTTTAACCATCTACTCTTTAAACATTGCACAATTTTAGTATCTGATTGCACAATAATAAACAATAAATAAAATAAATAATAAACAAAAGTTACAGAAGGAGAAAAGTTCCAAGTCCAAGCAGATAAAAATCAAAGACTCCACTAACTGCTGACTGTATCAGCAAGAAATGCAGGATGGCATTTCTGAGTAAATAAGTGTTCAGTTTCCAAGAGTACCACTGTATCTGTGCATTTGAACTTATTAAAACACACCATTTGCAGTTTTCTGGACAACAGAGTACGTAATAATTACTTAGGACTGTAAAATTCTGTTTGACACTCGTTGCTTAATCAGGTGATAAGGCTGTGGTGCACTTTATTGATTCATCTTCTGAGATTCGACTCTTAGAAAAAAAATCACACTAAGTTCATGCAAATTCAAAAAGTGAATTTCCTAAAACTGTGCAACAAATTTACCAGCAGAAATGAACAGAAATACGAGACAGGTTTCTTCTAAAGCAAACATAATGCCTAATTTTACTGTATAGAAAATGCACTAACACACACAGGCGATGCCTGGTGGCTAAGAAGGATGAGGTGCAATTTAGGCCTGTGCAGTTAATCAAATTAGTCATTTCAATTTAGGTTTGGTACCATGGGATTCAAAAATGTTTGTGATTGGCTAGCATGCTCTTCTTTGTCCTGACTCCCAGGTATCAGGTGTCTTGATGTCGTCTCTTCTAGGACAAAACTAACTACCGTGTGTTTTTGGTTGGACTGTATGACTTCTGCAAAATTCAATTTAATTCAAGTTTATTTATAAAGCGCCAAATCACGACAAGAGTCGTCTCAAGGCACTTCACACAATAAACATTCCAATCCAGGTCAGTTCATTAAGCCAATCAGAAATAAAGTTTCCTATATAAGGAACCCAGCAAATTGCATCGAGTCACTGACTAGCATCAGTAACTTTACAGCAATCCTCATACTAAGCAAGCATAAAGCGACAGTGGAGAGGAAAACTCCCTTTTAACAGGAAGAAACCTCCAGAGAATCCTGGCTCAGTATAAGCAGCCATCCTCCACGACTCACTGGGGATCGAGAAGACAGAGCGCACACACACACACACACACGCACACACACACACACACACACACACACACACACACACACACACACACACACACACACACACACACACACACACACACATGCACACACACAAAGACAAATAATGTCTATAGTTATATTGTGAGGTCTTAGTAAATATTCTATTTGGTGAGAGATAAACTTTATTGTATTTATCCTAGTGGATCTATAATTAAACGGGTAAACTAGCAGTAGCACATCCAACGTCAAGGAAAGCAAAAAGTTATTATCAGGAGAGGGAGAATGTATTAGTGGTTAGCAGCAGTGTGCTAGACGATGGCCCCCTCCATGAGGCCACCACAGCTCAGCAGAACATCATTGTAGCTTCTTCTGGGGAGAAAAACACTTACAGAGAAAATAAAGTTAACAGCTGAAATAGCAGGAGATAATACAGTTAAAGAGCAGACTAGAAGAAAGCAGTAGAGTGTGAGAAGTGGTCAGTATGTCCTCCAGCAGTCTAAGCCTATAGCAGCATAACTACAGAGATAACTCAGGATAACCTATCCTATTTAGATGGAGGCATGTTGGAGTCAGGGCAAGGGAGAGCCGTCTTTACTGACTGTACACTCCACCTCCCTCTACTCCCCCACTTGTCCAGATTTAGGCTAACATCAGATTTTAACCATTGGCCCTATCAAATAAAAATGTTTTAAGCCTATTCTTAAATGTAGACAAGGTGTCTGCCTCACGGACTAAAGCTGGGAGCTGGTTCCACAAGAGAGGAGCCTGATAACTAAAAGATATGCCTCCCATCCTAATTTCAGATATTCTGGGAACCACCAGTAGACCTGCAGTCTGAGAGCGAAGTGCTCGGTTAGGAACATATGGAACAATCAATATGAAAAAAAGGGATTAGTAGTGTAGCATAAGTTATGAAACTCAAAATATCTCAATATCCTGATGTGATCTTGCTTTGGAGACAAAGGGCCCACTATATGCATGCAGCAGTTTAGCATTTAAATCAAAGAAAAATGCAGAACAACATCCAAGTGTCTTCTATGATTTGGCAAAACAGCTTTTTAGTCAATTATGCTGGATTATGATTGGTAATAGTTAATAATTCATAATGTGAATGACTCAAAACAGTTCATTTAGATTTTGGGGAAAATAATAAACCAAAGAGAGACTGCAAACTGTTGTATTAAAGTTACGATTTTTCTATATTCATTTAAATTTAGAGCATTTTTCTATTTATTACACTAATAATGTGGTTAAATGTGTTTCCAACTCATTGAGTAGTTATGAAATAATCTTCATTTCAACGTGGCTGTATAATATCAAGTACCAGCTTTGTGAATTAGCTGCAAACCGCTAATCTGAGCCTGCTGTAGACACACTGGCAGTGAATTTGAGCCGCATGTTTGGTACTGAAAAGTTTTAACTTCTCTGTTTTTATAACAGCGTTTGTGAGTCAGATTTTTGCTCTGAAAATGCCATTGGAAACATCAAAAAGTACAACTCCTCCTTGTTTAACCTACTTCCAAAACCAATGTTGACTCAATTAACTAGTCTGAGCTGATATTTGTCATGTCAGAAAACAAAATCAACAATCGCTGGCCAGAAAATGAAAGCACCTTTTTTTCCTGCCAATACTGCCAGCATAATGAGCTGCCTGAGCCATGATAGACAGGCTTAGCAACCATAACTAAAGGAAGGGAAGACTTAACAAACACCAAATTTCACATTAGAATGAAATGTCTTTTTTTGTGCCTCTCTTCCAGACACTTCCTGTTCAAACAGGGTTCTGGTTCTTCAGCGCTGCTGTCAGGGGCAGGGCAGGGGTACCCGCTGACTTCTGGGACGGTCTACTCCCCACCACCGCGACCCCTCCCTCGCAGCAGCGTGACCAGGCCACTGTTTACCTTCAACAAGCCCCACCGCTGCTGTAACTGGAAGTGCACGGCCCTGTCCGCATCCCTGCTCACTCTCACGCTGGCCCTGCTGCTCACATACGTCATTGGTAAGTGCTGGAATACGCCATCGTGACTCCACCTCTCCCCTGAGGCCATTTGCTTCTGTCATCTCTGATTATTGTTAAAAATTAAGACACTTTTCCATTTTTGATGGCTGGAGATTCTATTGGGAGACTTGTCAAGCTCCTGCCATTTTCACAAAAAGGAACACATCAATTAAACATACAAAGAGCAGCTCTATCAGAGGGTTTCCACACACAGGAGTCTGCTGGAGTTGAGGGGTAAAAGATATATGGGAACATGACAACAATGAAAGGAGATCGATGAAGGATTTGAGTCATACTGCTGAAGTTTGGAAGCAGTATAGTTTTACAGACATGGCCCTCTGTAGAATACTTTACAATTCAAATTAGCATCCTAGAATAAAGCAAAGAAAACTAGTGATAATTGTAGGATCAGTACACATGAAGATCTCCTCCCCTCTGCACACACACACACACACACACACACACACACACACACACACACACACACACACACACACACACACGTTCTTGTCTTTCATCCATTGTGAGGACTGTCATTGAGTTCTAACCATTGACATATAAATATTGGACAATGGGTTGCCATAGACTCCAATAACATGTTTTCGAGGGTAAATGGGAGGTGGCCACCACCGCCATCTTGACCGTGTCACAGGTTCCGTCAAGCCCAGACAATTCCACAAAAGGGAAGAGAGGTGGAGCTGAGGGTCGGGCTGTAAGGCTGGGATCAACTGACGACACCCGGTTGAACTAGCTACAAGCTAACCTGAAGCTAACCCAACGCTAACGCAGAGGTGGGAGCTAAGCTAACGGAGGTAGCAACCTAGCTACAACCGGAGTTAACTAGGGGTTGTATGAACTAGTCGACAAGTCGACTAGTCGACTTCACTGCTCTGTAGTGACTTTTTATGCCTGTCATCGACTAGTTGCTGTCACGTGATAATGACAGACAAGATGCAGTCCTCAGAAAAGACAGCAGGTGAGGAGCTCCTGCGCGTCGGGAGGCAACGCGCTGTGCAAGAGCGTCGGTACTGACACCCGCCGTAAAACGGACATTTAACCAAATTGTGACCTTTTAATTTAACCCTCCCCTCACCCCCATCCTAATCTTAACCAGCTTGCGCATGCAAAGCTCTGATTGTTGACGCGCTCCAGACATCTGCGTCTTGAGCATGGCCACATTAACATCAAATTAGGTGTGACCACCTCAAAAACTAAGTTAACACGCGATCGTTCATGTTGGCTCATTTCCTTTTATGTTTTCTGTCTTTTATCTGTGCCTGATGCATTTCTCTGCTGTGGAGCAGGGCGCATCACCTTGTCCTCCGGTGACGCATCTCACCAGAGCGGCCGGCGTGCACCCCGCTGTTTTTGCGGTCGGTAGATCCTTTAGAACTGCAGTTCAAAGGTAACTCATAATAAGGTGAATATATATGAACCCATGTAGTAGCCTAGTTTCTCTTTAGGACTGAGAGGAGATGCAGGATAATAAACAGAGACAGGACAGAAAAACAGTCAAATAAAAACAAGTTAGTTTCGTACCTGGTAGCAACAAACAGACACCATTGACGGTAATCAGAAGTGAGGAACAGAAAATGAAATCATTATTTTAATGTTTAGAGCAGCAGAAACTCCGAGAGGCTGCAGGCGCATCAGTGAGTTTGCGGCCACTGCGCAGGGGGAGGGGGGAGAGGGCTGAAGCAGAAACTACCGTTGTTAAAAGAAATGTGTTTAACTTTGAAAATGTGGGTGCAATTTTAATTGTCAAAAACTCCAGCGAACCAACCGGCTCCACAAGACGATAGTGGGAACCCAGCTCCACCAACATGTTATATTTCAACCCATTTTCTAAAGTGCAGCATTATGTTAAATGCACTGGGTTTTACCCTATTACATTTAAATTTCATGGTTAAACAGTACATGTTAAAATCTAAGCTCAGCTCGGCAGTGACCTAAAATACATAAATATAATTTTACTTACCGAAAAAAATGAAGTGGAGACTCCTTGGACGCTCTATTAGTGCAACTAATGCCACAGCAAGTCATTTTGTCCAACAATTGCACAAAAAATATCCAAAACAGAATACACAAACACAGAGACTCAAAATCCCAGAACAGTTTCCAAGCCAGTCCGAGGCTCTACTGAGGCCTTTCCACGGAGCTAGCTCTGTGGTCACGTGGGTCTGATGCTCATTAATTATACAGAATTTTAGGCTTTTAATACACTTAGAAGAGTGAGAAAAAAATTCACCCCCCTCAGAGTTGTCATGAGTGTAAACTAGGTAATTTAAACCAAAAACATGTTTTGGTACCAGGCTGTAAACATGTTTATTTCTGCTGTGAAATTGGTATTTTTAACATGGGAGTCAATGAGGATTTGCTCGCTTCTGACACCAGCCCCCAGCGGATGAGGATGGAACTGCAATTTTTGGTATTTCCGGGATTGCTTCAATTTTTGAGCCGCATTGTGGGGGCCTGGTTCTAACCCTAATACTAACTATTACCAGTCTAACCTTAACTTTAACTAAAACTTCATTCACGCCAGACCTCCACAACTAACAAGAAGAGCTCTGTAACAACAGGCAAAATGTCCTCACTTTGTAGGTGAAAGTCATTAGTCCTCACTATGATGTGTAGACAAGTACACACACACACACACACACACCACCTCATAACATTTCTGACATCTGCACTCATGGAGTTTGTTTTAGTTTTATTATGATGAATGATGATGGTGATAAATGACCCACACTTGTTTAACACCCTTCAGAATCAGAGGACTCCAAAGCGCTTTACACTACAGTGTATCATTCATCCATTCACACTCACGCATCCACGTACCGTGAGGCTCACTGACACACTGGTCCTCCCGACCATCAGCAGCAGTAATCTTTCATTTTTTGCTTGTATTAATCTTTGTTTTAGGAAATTCTATTACTATAGGTGATAATAAGGTTTTAAAAACTTTTCTACTTTGTCCTTTAAAAAGTGATGTAAAACAAATTAACATCTCTTCTGCTTTAGTTCCACCAAAATAATAACTACCATGCTCAAAAATGTTTCACATATCATAGTTTTACCCACAAAACTAAAGATGAACCTTAAAAAACACGATGTATTTAAAATAAATTATCCGATAGTTCAAAACTAGGCATCACGCTTCTTAGACCTTGAGATCTTGACTAATTAATTCTTCGATAATGCTCAACTAGTGTGAGACTCTGTGTGTAAATCCTCTCATTTATTTAATATCATAGTGTTTTTATTCAAGTGTTCCAAGAATTGTTTTCTAAAAATTCAAGGGTCGCTGATTTCTTTGGGATGATTACACAGAACTCAGAATTAAACTAAACTCAACTCCAGTGAAAGTTACTTCTTTAGCTCCACTTCGGCTTTAAGACTCATCTCATTTTCTTTGACACAACGTTAATAAATCAAGTCTTGGAGTTTATTAAATAGAGCTGAATCCTTTGGTAGAAATATCAGATATCTTTGCTCTAAACAAACATGTTTTATTTGATCAATATCAGGTGAAGTTTTGGTTTCAGCCTTGAAATTTTTTTATTTAATATTGAAAAGTTAATAGATCAGATGCTGAAATAGCTCCCTGAGCCACCGAACCCCACTTTAATTTAATTACATTTGTTTAGCAAACATGATATCATGTAATATATGAGACATGTCAAATGATGTGATCTTTGGCTAAATGCAGCTGCAGTCTCAAGTGGCACCTGTTAAATTACTAACAGATACTGCTTTTCTTTTAAATACAATTATCACTCAGAGTTTCACCCACAGGCCGAACCTGAAAATGGTTGTCTACCCCTATTTCCTGTTCTAGTCTTTGTTGACATATTTTTTCATCTTTGTGCACACGAGTGGTTGGGTGGCAAAACTAACAAAATGGCCTGCTATCAATACGCAATGTACAATTTTAAGCAGAGGTTTGACCAAGGCACTGCTTTGTAAGTCACAAGTATTTCCAGTCAAGTCGCAAGTCTTTGATTTGGGTCAAAGACAACCAAGTCCAAGTTGAGTCCAAAGTCATTGATGTGGAAGTTCAAGTGAAGTCCAAGTCCTTAACTTTGAATTTTCAAGTTATAATCAAGTCATCCGTCCAACTTTTATCTAATGAGAACGATAATAAATAAATTCCAGAAATAATGCTTCTTGAAGCTTAATTTATTTGCTAGTTTATTATAAACAGAGTACTGCTGCATTTAGTAGTACAAAATCAAACTCTGAACGAAGAATGATTTACAATTTTTGTCCATGTCGTAACGCTTTTGTGTTGAAATATCAAATATGCTTAAGTCATCATCAAGTCAACAGAAGCTAGTCAATTCAAGTCGCAATTCATTGGTGTTCAAGTCTGAGTCAAGTCGTAAGTCTTTTTAGCTTTTATCAAGTAAATTCAAAAGTTATTAAAATACTAACTCAAGTTTGACTCGAGTCCAAGTCATAAGACTCGAGTCTACATTTCTTCTTTTAAGTGAGTTTACAGACAAAATCCTTTACCATTAAAAGACAAGAGATTGTTTAGAGAGACGCCTAAAATCTGTATTAAAGAGAAAATTAAAGTTATTAAAAGCCCCAATGAGCTCTGAAATGATTAAAAACATTATTCTGATTCGCCGATGTTTATTTATTTTTTTTTTACAAATCTGCCTGGAAAACATTAATTCAACAGAAAGCCCTGGACCATTCACCCATAAAAAAACGAAAGGCTTTCAAACATATGTAAACTTATGATGATTTTGTCTTAAGAAAAGTTGAGCTGATCTCTTCTGAAAGCAGAAAGCTGTGGTCATGCTAGTAGCAGCAGTTAGCTCCGACGAGCAGAGCCACAGCGTTGTTTACATCACCTGTGGGTGATGGCCAAAGAAAACAGATAACTCCTCACAGCGACAGCAAAGCTGGGTAAGTCTTCATTAATCTGTGTCCTTATTTATTACATTATTTACTGTTAGAATGATCGCGGATTGAGATGCCTGAATCAAAAC